TTCCCAAAATGAAAACTCTGGCACACGAATAAAGTACTGAAATTTATATTTTGAGGATAACTTTAATCTTCTCTTTGCCTGAAGTAATTTTTATAAACTATTTGACAGATTATAGTTACTAATAATTGACATATAATTTTGTGTTATTCGCATCTTATACCAACAAACTTATATAAAAAATGAAATTACAGTTTCTACAGCTTAAAAAAGGAAATTTTCTCTGAAATATTATAAACGAGAGTCTGACTATAATTTTTCTGACAAGTGAGAGACTGATATTTGAAGTGATGAAGCGTTGAACTTTGATAGTGAAGAACATCATTATTTATAAGATTTTACATTAATTATCAATAATCTTCTGATATTATTATTTCACCGCTATTTCAATAGAAATAATTAGACAATGTACTTACGTAAAACGAATTTTATACAATACTCTATTTATTTCAGATTTTTCTTACATTCAACCAAAGAATAACCGAACAGATAAACATAGTACATTAATAATTTATTTATTTCTTGAAATTTTATTTCGTACTAGAGTATATACGTTATCATTAATTCACTTTCTTGTCTGGGACCATTTTATTAAAAGATAAACCAATTATATTCACATACTTGAAATCAAATACCCTAGCAATATCCGATTTGCTATTGAAACATTTGATTTAAAACCGATTTAAAATTTTGAATATAGGCCAACTATTTCTATTCGACTATTAGTTTTCTATTTATATTTTTTCATTTAGTAACAAATAATAATAGATTTAAATTAGAAATTCCATCGTTAAGCATAACGGACTTCTTCCTATGAAAAGCAGACTGATAAATTGAGAAGACTAGAGATTTAAAGAAATTCAAGAATAGTAGCTAATATTTCTACAAATTAAGTAGCCTATACTGTCCGTCGGATAATTAAGGCGCGATAATATATTTCAAATAACAGATTGATACTTTTGATTAGATAATAGAACATTACCTGGTCACTATGGAAAGTTTTTAAAAAAAATTGTGGTAGAAGCGACACAATGCGGCTATTTTTTTCTTTTTCTTTTATTTTAACATTTAAATTTTAAATTTAATGAAGTAAATTTAAAATTACTTCATTTTCCGAAATATTTAAAAATGCTACTTAAGGTAAATAACGTCATAGCTGAAATCGATAAAACCTTATTTTATAGCTTATAGCTAATATTTTGTCAAATTAAGTAAAATATATAACCAAAATTTTACCTGGATAGCACAAAAATAGGAGTTACCTGTATAGGGAATTCACAAACACATAACTTGCATGCACACATACGATGGCTTTTATTTTACTGTATTAATATGATTTTTTAATCTATAAACAATACTTAAAGCAATATTTTCCCACTAAACTTACAGGATTTCCGCCGTAAACTATCAAGTAAATTAGTAAAGATTATTTTAAGTTATTTAATGATTAGGAATATCTAATAAGAATGTTAGTAGAATCATATTATTAGAATTTCCTGATCATTGATAACAATTCTGGAGTGAATTGTTTTTTACTTGGTCTTAAGTTAATCTACAACAAACGAAGTCTAAGGGTGCCATCTTATTGGTGGCGACGTTGCGCTATTATACTCATCCGGTTTTCATGGATATTTAATGTGAACGGCTTTTTCAATCGCATGTGCATGATGTTCTGTAGTTTATAAAACTCATTTATCGATAAAACAACAGAGCACTCATGCACATGTGGTTGAAAATTACATTAACTCTAAATCCCATCTTTTTTCTCATTGATGGCGACATCATCCCCACCAATGAGACTCCCATAGACTCCGTTGTCGTAGATTGAGACTAATATAGTGTATACTGTGAATAATAAATACTCGCATTAATCTCTAAAATACTGTTTAGAAATTAAAATGTTTCTGGCAACACTGATTTTGGCCACGTGACCAGTTGTTTCCAATGTAAAGCGTATGAATTCAACTTCAGCAACAGGTTGAGTTCGAAAGAAGTTAAAGATCTTTCATGCCATCCATCTTCCAAAATATTCCAAAGTTAAATTAAAATTAAATGTATTTCTAATTAGTAAATTTATCATTAGATGGAGGCTTAACCGCCTAAATATACTCAAATTGCTTTATATATAACCATTAATTAAATTAGCCTTGTTACATCCCGATGAAAAATCTGGTAGTTCGTTTGGCATTAATTTTTTTTTTTTTCAATTTTCATTGATTTCCGGTTATTTTTAATTTTATGTTAGTAAAGGAAAAACTATTGGAAATGAATTAAATTTGGAAGTGACTGACGTCATTTCTTTCGAATAAAATGACGCTTGAACGAAAAACTTTTACAGGTAGATTAGAAAAATTGTGTTCAATTAAATTTCGTCAACTTTGCATGCAAAAATGAATACCCAATTGTGAAGTAATTTACTCAAAAAATGCTAAAATTTCGAGATCTAAGTCTTATGTTAATAAATTTATTTGCTTCTTTATTTTCCCTATTTATTTATAATTTAACAACTTTTTACAGCAAATATTTTCCGAGTACAGCTAACACAAAAATAATAATTGAATAATATATGAAGGTTGTAACTTATTCTTATTAAATGTCGCTCTCTAAAATTATAAATCATCGTGTTTTATTATCACCATTATTCTAGGGCAGTGTTTCTCAACCTCTAACGAATCGTCGCCCCCTTCAACGTAGTGTCGCCCCCTTCAATAAAACCGTAGTATCGCCCCCTTCACTTCAAAATTCCGATGTCCAGGGCCAAGGCTAACGCCAAATTCGTACTGCATCGAATAGACTAGTGACTAGTATAATGTTATTTGTTTAATTATTGTATAATATAACGAATAAAATATCTAATTATTCTTAATATAATGTTTTACTATATCGCCCGGAAAATTGTTTTTCGCACCCCCAAAATATGAATTGTTACTAATCGTCCCCTCAACATGGAAAAACGCCCACATAGGGGCGATATCGCCCCCGTTGAGAAACACTGTTCTGGGGGAAAAATTAAATTATTTCTTGTTTGGATACGGGCGAATGCACTAATTCTGATCTGACAACTCTACTCAGGAGAAAATTCCAATACACAGTTCAAATTCTTAATTATAAAAGAATAACTTAAATTCATAAACATTAAGAAAACGTGATCCTCTTATTACAGTATCGATACACAAGGGCGTAGTTACAGCTGTATTAGTTGTAGCAATGTTACAGGGTTCACTAATTAGGGTTGGTTGTTAAAATCTGTTCAACATAATTGAAATTTTTTTCTGTATAAATTTTTACAACAACAAACTGTAGAGATTAATTTTACGTTAAATTAAATTGTTTCAATATTGGCTAATAACTGAAAATAGAGGAAATGCTTGATAAATGATAGAGTATTTTTATTAGTAACGAAAAGTTCGTTATAATAATAAATAATGCAACTCATGATTGAAATAGGAACTATATTTCTGGAATTCTTTAATATGATATTTCAATAAGAACAAAGAAAACGAAAATCACATAAAATTGTTATTTACAATTATTCTATAAATAAAAATATGTTTTATTCACTAAACAAAACTTCATCGTCATCGTCATCGTCATCGTCATCGTCATCGTCTTCGTCAAAGTTTAAGCTACCTATCGAATTAAACACATATTTCTTTACAGATAAACATTAGGGAAAAATAAATTTATTTTTCAAATGTAATAACAGTTCACATATCAATGTTTTCATTAATTTTACTACTAATATTAGAGCTCTTAACCTGTGATTTTTGAAAAGACCTGATATCATAGCTAAACAAAAGCTGACAGCCAAAATTTTTAATTAATCGAAGCATAGTAATTGTGACTACTTTGATGGAATTCTAAAGTGTAAGGTGTACAGAAATGGTAAAATAAATTGTTAAATGTGATATAAGATTATTTTATTGCATCCGTTTTGTACGTTTTGAACAGGTTAATATAGAACAGCGATTTCTCTGAATATAGAATTGAGACCCCAAAGTGGGGGTCACCAATTCTTCTTATATGGTTATGTAAACACTTTTACATAAATATTATTCCCCTTCTTAAAAAAATCATAAAAAGTATTGTGCATATTTTTTCTTTTGGTTTCTTTGACAGCCAAAGAAAACTACAACACTAGTTTGAAGTATATTGACAATCAACAGCAACAACAAGTAAAAAAAAAAAATATTAGTGGATTTGTATACATAAAAAAATATCCAAAAAGCAATAACTGTAAGAAAACGGAAATTGAATCATCGGCGAAAAAAGTTGACAATGCCAAACAGAGCGGATACTCGGACAGAACCTTGAAAAGCGGACTGTTCACGCAAAACAAGGACCGTTGAGAGGTCTGTAATGTTAAAATAAAATTTCGTCTGGCTTTCTCCATTTTTGGTTCATTTATTTTTGAACTATTTCTTAGTATTTTTAGCATCTTAATTATGTCTGCAGATTTCAACAGCAGAATTAAAAGCTAAAATCCCTTCCTATTTATTATATTTTCGGTTATTTTGGTGGAAGTGATGTCATTCATTTGTTTCGTTATTTCTGATTAAATATGATAAAAAAGAAAAGAAAGGAACAAACTTTGTGAAAATTATATGGCTGAGAAAATATAAATTATATGGCTGAGAAAAGAAAGGAACAAACTTTGTGAAAATTATATGATTCTTATTCATTATGACAAGATAACGTATGAGTATATTATTTTATATAATTATAAAACAAATAGAATATTTTTCCTGTTTAAACAAAAATATATGCATTCGATTCCCAGCAGAAATCAATTGTAGTGTATATCTGCTACTTTATTAAAATGGAAATGTTTAATATTTAACAGTAAATCCAATTTTTCATGAAAATTTTTAAAATATTCGTAAATGAATTTAGAAAAGAATGTTTCAGCTTTATTTATAATTGCTTAAATATATTCGCACACAAATTAAAGTAATAATCTACTTTTATAAAGCAATAAACGTAAAAAATTGCTTGCATTGTTATAAAATGTTGAAATTCATTTCCTTATAAATAAACGAAAAGGACGTAACTAACATCCTTTGTATTTCCTGTAAAGGAAATAAAAATAGAAAGTTAAAGTTTACTATTCATTATACTTCATTATACACGAATTTAGCTTATCACAACGGGATCGATAGTGACATTTTTATTATGTCTGAAAATCGTTCAAATCGGACTTCAAATGCAGGTAAGATGACATATTTTTAGTTAAAACTTAAAATCTTATAAAACAATTGACCTAAAGAAAATTTATAATGAAGATTTTCGGAAATTATTTTACAGCGTTTAATTAAATGTATTTAGTTTTTTTTAACTTTTTAAGTGACTTTTTTAAGTGAATGGCAGTTAATTTTTTTTAAAAATATTATTTGATTTTCAGACTTACTTGTGTTAATTCTTGTTTTTTTATAATTTATAAATAAAAATTATCTTCTATTCCGATCATTTCAAGATATTTCACGCCCATTTTAAGGATTCTATAAAGAAATGAAAATTTGTATAAGCAGCTAAATAATAATTCAAGCCCAATAATAATAATTCAAGAAGATTTTTTTTTCAAAATCTTTAATTTTTTTTTTGTTTTTTGGAAATAAAAATAGTAATATTCAATACATTAATTTAGATGATACTTCGCATATTTCAGATAAAAATGGACAAGCAAATAACCGTATATTACTGATAGGAGTTTTTTCGGGCTTAGGTTGTATCCTTCTTTTTGTAATCGTCTTGTGTTTATGGTGAATTTTTGTTTTATTGTTATAAAAACCTTAAGTTTCCATTTTTTTCAATATTCATCTTTAATGAATGTATTTATATTTTAAGTTTTCTTGCCAAAAACTATTTAAAGAAACGAAAGACAAGTGAAACAAGCTTAGACGGCATGTGGACTGTTCAAAGTAGAGGTAAGAGTGTTTTATATAAAGTTATAAGTAATAAACGAATCAATTATTAAAATCACTTATATCGCAGAATCGGGATGGTCTTTTAGTAACAATGCATTAGAAGAAATCAGTAATGAAATTGACGAAGGCTGGGAAAAGCGTGTTCATACATCAAAATTAGAAGAATATGTCGTTCAAAGAAGAAATGATAATAGATTGGTAGAAGAATTCGAAGTAAGTATATATACAAGTTAAAAACAAATAAAATTTTGAATCTGTTAAAATTTCAATTAATTTCATTGACAATTTTTAGTCAATTCCCAATGAGCTTTTGTATGCCTGCAGAATTGCGACGCTAAAAGAAAATAAAAGGAAAAATAGATATGAAAATATTCTTCCCTGTTAGTAAAATTTTTAACATTAAAAGGAAAAAAATAAAGATTTATTTTTAATTTAATTTTAATAAGTGTTTAAAAATCTCATTTAAGTATTATTGTTAGACCAGTAGTAAAATTCTCTCTTAACCGATTTTTATTGTATTTATAGCAACTAATTATTTTATATTTACTATAACTGTATAAGTGTATTCACATTTATATAAATTGAAAACTACTAAAAGATTATGTGGAAAAAAGATTCTTGTTATTTTAATGCATTAATTAATTTTAGATGATCACACTCGAGTTGTTTTGGACGTTTTACCTAATGATTCTTATTCGGATTATATTAATGCCAATTATATTAATGTAAGTATATCAGCATTATTATTCTATAGCAGTGGTGCTCAAACTTTTCGATTCATGGGCCAAAATTGCACATAAGTTATAAATAGGCGGGTCACAAATGTTTTGTATAGGTCTACTTTTTATACGTATTGAATATTTCTACTGGTATTTTCTATAAGTTATGGATCAAATATGATCGCTAGCTGAATTAACGAATGGCCGGCCGGATTTGGCCCGGAGCCGTAGTTTGTACACCACTGTTCTAAGGCAAGCGTTTACGAATTTTATTAATTACAGGGATATAAGATAGAAAAGAAGTATATCGCTACGCAAGGTAAATAAATATTATGTAATATCAATTTTGTTAGATTTAGGTTAATTTTTCTCGTTTATTATACGAATTGAACTAAAATCATCAGTGAAGATAATATCAAACTGTTTTTAAGGTCCTACGCCATTAAGAATGGTGGACTTTTGGCGTATGGTATGGCAGGTAAAGTGCTCTAAAATTGTGATGATCACGAATCTAGTAGAAAATGGAGAGGTAATTCTTATTAAAGATATAAAAAGAAATTTTTAAATTTTTAAAGAAACAGTGCAATTATTATAGATCTAAAAATGACCATTCTTATGTAGAAAGATAATAGTTAAATTTTAAATATTTTATAGACCAAATGCAAAAAATATTGGCCAAAGAAAGCAGATACATATGGAAATCTGAAAGTTCAACTAATGGATCAAGATGTTTATGCCGATTTCACTATCAGAACCTTCCTAATTTCTAAGGTTAGTGTATTTATTTATAATTATAACTGTGACATGACAAAATATTTGTTATAAAAAATAAAATAATTTATAACAATTCTTTTTTAAATTTTAAACTTTTTATTAAAAATCTGTAGTTTTATCTAGAAATTTTTTGATATATTACATGACTCAGTCGCCGTTTTGCTTAAAAATAACTTTTACAAGAATAAAGATGTAATATTAAACAGCAATATGCAATGTATTAATGTAAAATAAATCGTATAATTATGTTGAATAAGTCAAATTGCAATCACTTCTGGTTTCCTGGTTACATTTAAGTAAGATACAGAAAACTGTGATTTCATGCCATATTACGAATTAACTCTTAATAAAGGTGATACAACGATAGCAATAAATAACCATAAAATCAATGTACAACTATATACCTATATATAACCATAAAACCAATGTACAACTATATACCTATATATAACCATATGAAATCTATATACCTTAAAACCCTATATACAATTAAAAAGTATATGTACCCAGTGGCGTAGCGTGGGTGTCAGCCGTCCGGAGCGGAGGAAAATTTCGTAGCTCCCTTATTTAGGTATCTCAATTTAAAAGACTAAAATTCAGTTTCGTCACAGAATAAGTAATGAAAAATTCCGTGCTCATTTCAATCGGTCCGAATCGTACGTGCGACAAAAATATGAAATGAAATGGTTCAAATTTTTACACAAGATATTATTATTATTTATTGTGAAATTTTGCCGCCCCCTAAAATTGCCGCCCGGGGCGGGCCGCCCCTGTTGCCCCCACTATGCTAAGCTACTGGCTCTTAGCACATTGGCTCTCTAAGAAAACGGCGCGAAGAGGAATTCGACCGTCGCCGTACTATATGAAAAAGAAATTAACATCAGTGTCGAAACAACCCTCAAATTTACCGTATGTTTAACAGAAACCCACATCTTTCTTTTCTCTTTATCTAAAATTGGATGGATAAAGCCCGAATTTTATGTATTGTTCTTGTTTAATCCAGCCGTTTTTGGACAATATCAGCTTCATCCACCTGCGACTTAGATAAAGCGAGCTTTATATGGATAAAGTTTAAAATTAATAGTCAGGTTGCGACCGAAATTTTCATCTCTATAACGTGAACGTTGAATGTCGAGCGCCACTATCTTGTAAGCGGCGCTCGACGTTCGACGTTTACGTTTTAGAGATGAAAATTTCGGCCGTAACCTCGCTAGTAAACTGCTACTGCTACTTAGCATTAATGTTGTATTAAAAAATGTTTAAAATCTACGTTCAGTCGATTTGTACTGTACGTGCACGCTAGATAATCAAGGTTTGAAAACACCGTCTTAAATTGTTATCTAAATGTAGAGTTCCTGAAAGACTATTATAAACTAAAAAAGTTCCAAAGGCTGTGGAAGGTCGAAGACCCGTTCTAGCTGGTTAGCCGTGTTATACCAAAGGATTGCAACACGCTACATATATAACGCAAAGTCATTTTTCAAGCTTTTATTTTTTTGACAAAAGTGGCTTCTTATATGCCGTAAAATACGATATATCTTTGGAAGAGAGTTAAACAAAAACAAATCACAGTTTTTTAAAATTCTTTCTGCCATCTGGCCGCTAACATATCATAGTTTATAATTTGTACTACAGTATTTTGTTAATAGAATGCAAGTTTTATTTTATATTATTTTTATTATATTAAATTACATCACTTAATCAGGTTTAATAATAATAATAATAAAATCTATATTATTAGAAAGAATTTTAAAAAGTATAAAAACTAAAAATATATAAAAGTTTGAAGATGGAAGATACCATTCGTCGCGCCATCTTCCGAGTAGCAACCAAAGTACACGAGCATGCGCAGTAGTTAGTACCGTCCATCGAATTCAAAAAGTTGGGCAAATTGTAATATTGTATTTACGGACGGATATTATTTTATTTTAATTTACTTTTAATTCAAAAACTTAAAAATATCGAAGAAATGTCATCGGAACTGAACGTTTTATTAGAAATGGGATTTCCACCTCAAAGAGCGTAAGTGTAATTTTTAAAAGAAGCGAGACCAAAAACAAAACAAAAAATGAAGATTTTGTGTTTCGGTCATCGCAATATTTACGATTTTAACGCAAAATTACCTTTTAATATTTATGGTAACATCCGAAGCTTTTTCTGGCAGATGCTATTGATTGTTTACATCATTTTTTTTGTTTAAAACGTCACGATTGTCTCGAAGATGACGTCAAAACCCGAAATTTAATGTGGTGGTGATTGGAAGTATGATGCTGAGAGACAATTCTGACTGAAATTATTCACTTTTAAACCAATTCTTGACTTAAATATCAAAACTTATCCTTTTTCAGAGTTTTAAGGTACAGATGTAGCTCTGAATGAGGTGGTTGGGTCCTTTTATTAGAGCTGTAGACTATGCCCATGGGTGTAGGATGGTCTAAAATTTGTGGGGAGATTCAAACTCCACATTCACAACTGCAGTTTTATCCACTTTAATCTGAGAAAAATCTTTAAATTGATTAATGATGATAATGAGATAAAAAGTTACAAATTTGGCTTCTCCCAAAAGAAATATATGAGATTTATTTAATATTTAATCCTTTAATATAAATGGTTCACCAGTGGCCAAGCGGTTTCTGTCCCCTGAATGCTGGGAGTTCGGTTGCGGGTTCCCCAGGTTTTCTCCACGTCTGTAACGCATAAATAAGGGCTGGTTACCCTTAAAAACACCTCCTGGAAGGCATCCCCCTAGGCAGATTGCCCAAGTGTTGCATTGCCATAATTTAATAAAACAAACAAATAAACTTTAAGCATTTTCCTTAAAGGCAGTATGAAATTTTTAAACATATTTTTTTGTATAAATGAATTAGCTTGATTACAAGATTTATAAGTTTAAATAATGGTTTTCTGTGTATTATGATTGACATCTCTTGGGACTGGTCGTAGACCATTTTTATGTGGGTTATGTTTTATTTTTAAATTTTATTTTATTTGAGGTAACTGTGACGTTGACGTAAATTACATTTTCAGAAATATAATGAAATATACGATGATATTTTCAGAATTAAATATATTTATTAATGCAAACCATTTTAACTTCAAATTATGATTAATAGTAACACTGTATAGAATTCTAAAGTATGTTCATATAGAATTGATTGGGCTTCCAAGTTGTTTGCATTTGGGTATGGTGTGGATATCTGTTTTAAAAGATTTTTGCATAATTGTTTAATCCAGTTTATTATGTAAACAGAACGTATGAAGGGTGTCCAGAAAGTAAAGAATGTTTGTGCATAACACTCTGCTAAGGTAAATTACTGCCAATGATTTGAGGTCAATTTGTTCTTTGATATGTTATCATAGCACATTTAGAGTTTTTATAACAGCAGGCTTATTGTTACTGTTTTGTCAAGGGTAAAATGTGTAAAAAAATCCAGAGTGCAAAGTGTTGTTTTCTAAATGCAAAGGTCTGTCCTGAAGAAATTCGTAAACAAATCATGAAAGTGTTTGGCGATCACGTTACGAATGGAGCAAGTGTGAGAAAATGGTGTTAATGTTTAATTGAGAAAGATATCACATGACTGCATTCCACCATAGCCACTAAAGCTGTGCTTGAGAAATTTGGCTGGGGCATTTTTCACCACCCACTGTACAGTTCCAACTTGACCCCAGTGACTTACCTTTTCACAAGCTGAAAGTTTTTGGATGGATTTGGAACATTTTGGAATGGATGAGAGGTGAAAGTTGTCACTAACTGGCTGAAGGAACTGGTGGTGGAAGTCTAT